TCCCATAGTGCATTTCAGTCCCGTCTTCTCATCCTCTTCAACTCCATTTACTCTTGCCGATTATCCACAAGGGATTCACCCAGTACAAAAGGGCCACACCAACAGACCCAAGTGTCCCGGCAGTGCAGAAGAGGTGAGAAGGACCTGAAGAGCAAGAACCATGTGCTTTTTCACCTCTGTATAGCCCCCCAGTGCCTTATACATAGTAGAGACTTAATAAATATTGGTTGGATTGAACTAAGTGGTAAGAGATTGGTCTATGGGCACAACTATGGTGGTGACCAATGGAGAAGGTCATAAGATTATAGACTTAGCCCTGGAAAGGAGCATAGAGGTCATTTGTCTGATCCTATTTCATAGACGGGGAAACTGAGGCACAGAGGTAAAATGACTTGCCCAAGCTCACAAAATTATTAAGTGACTGAGGCAGAATTTGACCCCAGTCCAGAGCTCGTTCTCCTGCACCAAAGAAGGAATAACCAGGCCCAGCTTAGTGGAGTGGGCAATTAGTTGGAACAGCGGTTAGAGCTCTGGGTTTGGAATCAAAAGATTCTAGTTTCAATCCTGCCTCAGACAGTTTATTTTTTTTTTTCACCTCTGTTAGCCTTTGTTTCCTTATCTGTAGAAAGTGGGGAGAAAACCCAGCCTGTCAGTTTCCTTCTGGCTCTAGCCTCCTCAGTCGCCCACAGGGCAGCCCAAGCTGACTTTCTTAGAAGAACCCGGGGCAGTGACCAATCGTGACTTTTGCCTCTCATCGGAGAGGTGGAGGGCTGCAGGAGAGGAATGTAGCGCACTGTCACACATGGGCAACGCATTGATTCTATTCTGCTTTACTTAAACTTGTTTGCTGCAGGGAAGGGTTGGGGGAAGGGAGGAGCGTTCATTGGGAAATGACAACTGACAGGCTAGGGGTCTGGGGCTGACCAGTGATTTCCTGGGTTTAGGGAACCACCCCAGAAAGAAGCTTCCTCCAACGTCACCTTCTCTGAAACTTACAGTCTTAGAGAGATGCCTGGGACAGCGGTTCCCAGACCTGTCGGTCTCAGGCCTGCTTTACACTCTTAAAAATTGTTGAAGACTCCTTTCCCTCAGAAGCTTGTGTTCATATGGGTTATATCTATTATATATACTTCACCACGTTAGAAATTAAGACAGCTTTTTGTTGTTTTTGTTCAGTCGTTTTCAGTCGTGTCCAACTCTTCATGATCCCATTTGGGTTTGGTTTTTGGTTTTTTTGTTGTTTTTTTATTTTGGCAGAGATACGGGAGTGGTTTGCCATTTCCTTCTCCAGCTCATTTTGCAGATGAGGAAACCAAGGCAAACAAGATGAAGTGACTTGGCCAGGTCCACACAGCTAGTAAGTGTCTGAGGCTGGATTTGAACTCAGGTCTTCCTGACTCCAGGCTGGCATTACTCTATCCACTGCACCACCTAGCTGCCCTAAGACATCTTAGTATAACTAGAAAAATAGTTTTGACCTCATAGACCACCTGATAGGGTCTTGGCCCCCCAGACCACACTTTGAAAACCATTGACCTAGAACACAAAGATAAGTGAAACTTATCTCAGGGTCACATACCCTGTATGTATAAGAGGCAGGATCTGAATCCAGCTCTTCCTCTCTTTGGGTCCAGTCCTCTCTCCGTTAGGCCATACGCTACTTCTCATATTAAAGAGAATACCAATGGAACTTTTTTTTTTTTTGATGAGAAGAACAGAAAAAAACAGAGCATCTGTTTATTTCTCCAGGGTCACACCAAGACCAAGGAAGGAAGGGTAGCAGTCATTGGTGTGGGGGGGAGCAAAGAGAGGGTGGGAATGGGGGCATCGGGTGCACGGACAAATGCTGAGTTGTCTTCAAATAGTAAGTGAAGTAAATAGCTCTAGCAAAGCTCCTTAATCATCCTTAAAGACTTGGAAATCCTCTTGAAACTCCCAGAGTTCTAATGAGGAAGAGGGAGGTGGGAGGGAAAGATGGAGACCCAGGGATTGGCTCCTGGCCCATTCAGCTAGTACTTGTGTATTGTTCCCACAATGATGTCTAATTGTTTTCTTTTCATTGAATAAATTTTAAACTGCATCAGTCTTCATTGTATTAACAACCCCATGTGACTTCGAGTCCCCAAATAAAAACATTGATTGTGCATAAAACACAAATAAAGTAGGCTGGCAAAATGCTGGCAATTTTTCTTCCCTGAAGATCCCTGGTGGGGACAGTCTCTGCGCTCATCCCAGCTTCTCATCGGCTTGAAAATGTGAAAGGATCTCTGGACATGATCTAGTCCTACCCCCTCATTTGATAAAGGAGGAGGACTAATCCAAAACCTCAGGGCTAGATTAGGGCCAAACCTGAAACTGGACTGTCTTCCAACACCCTGCCTTCAAGAAGCTTACAATCTCATCGGAGAGATAAGGTGTGTGTGTGCATATAATATTGAATAACAACATAAAGCAGTTTGTTCCTCTCTTGGAGTTGTTGAATAGGGGGAGGGACTCTTGGCTCGTAGCTGTGAAAGCACCCAGATAACAAGCACTGTGTCCTGCTAACTGAATATATGGGTAGCACCCAACGTGGCTTGGAGGAAAGGTTTATAGAACCGTATGGTTCAGAGTTGGGAAAGACCTCAGAGATCACTGAGTCAGAGGATCATAAGTCAAAGCTGTGGAAGGAACCTTAGAAGTCCCTGAGTTCAACTTCTTTATTTTACAGATGAGGAAACTGAGGCCCAGGGAAGTGACATGACAACCAATGTCACACAGGTTATAGGTATCTGAGATAGGATTTGAACTCAGGGCCTCTGACTCCAGCGCCAGAGCTCTTTACACTCTTTTCCGCTGGTGTGGAGGAGGAATTACAAAGACGGAGATGCGAAGCAAAGGACAAGTAATCCTGGGTATTTCCCCAGCATGATGACGACGACAACAACGATGATGATGATGATGATGATGAGAGGACGTTCCAGTGAGAGCAGGGTGGGAGCTGCTGGTCCTTCATGGCGAACTAAACAAACTAAGGGCAGAAGACTCAGGGAATGGGACGGGGAGGGTCTGGGTGAAGAGAGGGGCAGCTCCTGAAACAAGACGCTGCTGTCCCGTGTTAGAATCGGGAAGGAAACAGGCAACTGGACCATATTGTATAGGTCTAGGGGGAGTCTGCTTGTACTGCTTCCTCGCTGTGTGACTTTGGGCAAGTCAATTCCCTTCTGCGGGCCTGAGCTTCCTTAATTCAAAAGTGAGGCGATTGGGCTAGCCAGCCCCTACGACGCCTTCTGACTCAGGGATTATATCATAATAACCAGTATTTCTATATCATTAGAAAGTAAGGTTGTTGTGAAGTCACCGACTGTTTGATTCTGTTTGTATTCTCAATGTTAGGACAGAAGGGAGAGAAAGAGAGACAGAGAGAGGGATGAGAGAGGGATAGGGAGATGAGAGACAAAGAAGAGAGAGAAAGGAGAGAGGAAAGGGAGAGAAAGGAGAGAGAGGAGAGAGGGGGAAAAGAGGAAGAGGAGAGAGAAAAGGAGAGGGAGGATAGAGAAATAGAGGGGAAGAGGAGAGGAAGAAAGAAAAAGGAGAGGAGAGAAAGAGAGAAAAAGGAGGGAGAGAGAATGAGGGAGAGAGGGAGGAAGGAAAGGAGGAAGAGAGAAAGACAGAGACATAAAGAGAGGGAGGGAGAGGGAGGGAGAGAGAGAGAATGGAAAGCAGCAGGAGATGAAGGTTTGAGTCTAAGTTGTGCCGGTGACACAAGCTAGAAGTTGCTGAGAAGGTGGTGACCCAAAGTGGCAGGGAGATTCACTCCCTATACATATATACATACACACATACATATGAAAGACTTCTTTTGCTAATCTCTAGCATTCAAGTGTTTGGAGTCCTTTGGTGACTAATCCATGGATCCGGCCAAATTTGTCAAGTGCGTATTATGTGGGATGTTGGACAAAAAAGAGAATACCAAGACAGAAACCAGGCAGTCCCTGCCCGCAGAGAGCTTGCAATCTGCCAGCAGCTAGGACATAGCGGGGCTGGAGGCGGGGAACAGGCTTCCAGAACTTCCCCAGGTCCCGGTTTCTCTGACCGCTCTCCTCCGTGCAGTGCCCACCCTCCTCACCTGGCTTCCCGTCATCACTGGGCTTCCTCTCACCAGATCCAGTCCAGATTCTCGACCAAACACGAGGCTGCAGAGCATCCCTGGGTCAGGTGTGAAGGCCCTAAGGAGGAAGCCAGAAGCAGGTGCGGCCGAAGGAACGCACCAATGAAGGATCTCCCTTTTCATCTTTTTACTCCCAGCCCCAGTCCCTTAGCAGCATGCCTGGCACATAGTATGTGTTTAGCAAATATTTTTTCATTCATTAAAGGAATTTTTTCCCTGGAAACAAAAAGGTTGCCTGGGGCCCAATAGTTGGTGAGTAGAGAGGATGGGGTTGGGGATGGGGGTTGGGATAGGGTGGGGGTAGGGTTGGGGATTGGGGGGGAGTTGCTCGAGGGAGGGAGGGAGGACTGCTTCTCTCAATCAAGGCAGTTGCTTGGAGAAACAGGGCCATTGAGCCCCCGGGAAGCTCTGAGATGAGGTGTTCACTGGTGCAAGGAGTCACAAGTCACTAAGGATGGAGGGGGCTTCGATTACCCAAGCACTAACCAGGTAAAATGAGGTACCTGGGGCACCATGCCTCCTCTCCTTGGCCCCTGAAGCTAAGGCCCAATTCCCTGCCCCAGCAAGGGTTCTTTCTTCCAGCAGCATCCAAAGACAGGCATGGAGAGAGAGCAGAGCCCCTATCCCCAGCCCCCACTAAAATGTCGCAAGTACAGCGGGCCTGCGTCCACAGACAGCAGTGGTGTCCAGGAATGTTTATATCCCTTTAAACAAAAACCCAGACAGCCCCGGGCTGAGCTGCCCAAAGCCCCAGGGATCACCTAGAGATCTAGGCAGAGAAAGCATTGTGCTGACAAGCCAGAGGTGGCCGCGTTATATAAAGGCGCGCTCTGGGCTGAGTTGGTACTAGATGGAGACCCAGGCTGTCCAGAGGGAGCTCGGTGAGTGAAGCTAGCTTGGCCTCTCTTACCCATTCCCATCTCCCTGCTCTCAGGGCTTTTGGCTTGAAGAGAAGGGGCTGCAGATACCTGCTAATTGGGGGTGAGGGATGGAGATTGCAGTCCTGAACCCTAGAAGGGTCCTCTCCGGCCCTGGAAGAAGGGAGTCAGAGCCAGAGTTGCCCTATTGACCAAGCAGCCCCTGCAGGGTTGGAGGGATCCTCGAAAAAAGTGGAGTGAGTGGGCATTTTGGAAGCTTGGAGGCAGAAGCAGGTGGGGAAGAGTGGCTGTCGGGAAATGTGGTTTGACTGCTGAGGGCTTAAAGCATTGAGCTCCCTGGGTCGATATGTTTATCTGCACTTTGCTCCTACGAGCCTTGTAGACCCTTAGAGCAGGAAGGAACCCTTCATTTTAAGGAAATAGAGGCCAAGAGACGGCAGGCCATAGCGGGTAGGACACTGCACTTGGAGTCGGGAAGACCGAGGTTCACATCCCACCTTAGACACCTACTTGCTGTGTGACCCTGGGCGAGTCACTTAACCTGTCTGCCTCAGTTTCCTCATCTGTAAAATGGAGACGATTAATAGCCCCTACCTTGATGGGTTGTTTTGAGGATCACACGAGACAATCTGTGTAAAGCACTTCGAAAACGTGGAAACGTTTATATGTTAGCTCTTATTACTAATAACATTTATACAGCACCTACTGTGTGCTAGGCATCTTACAATTATTATTTCAGTTGTGATACAACAAGCCTGGGAGGTAGCTGCTATTATTAAGTCCATTTTACAGGTGAGGAAACTGAGGCAGACAGAGATTAAGTGATTTGGCCAGGGTCACACAGCTGGTAAGTGTCTGAGTGGAGATTTCAACTCAGGCCCCATGCTCTATCCGCTGTGCCGCCAATTAGCCACTAATATCCTATCACGGACGTGGCTAAGGCCACACTGCTATTTAGCAGCGGGGCTGGGTTGAGAACCCAGGTTACCTGGCTCCTGATCCAGCACTCTTCTCACTCTCCCCATCCCCCGCTCCCCTTACTGCCTGGGTGTACAACCTCGGTCTTTGAATCTGCTGCCTGGAAGAGGCAGCAGCCTTGGCTGGGCCATACCTCCTAAGGTGGCTGTCCATCCCAGGAAAGGATGGCTGGAAGCAGCTTACAGGTCAGTCAGTTAGTCAACAAACACTTATTAAGGGCCTACTATGTACCAGGCATTGTGCTAAGCTTTGGGCATACAAAGAAAGGCCAAAACAGTCCCTGCCCTCAAGGAGCTCACAGTCTTAACAACCAGGTACATACAACTGTGTACATGGATACAGAGTAATCGGAGGGTAATTTCAGAGAGAGGGACCAAGGAAGGCCTCCTGCAGAAGGAAAAAAGCCAGGGAGCAGAGGTGGAGAGGGCGAACATGCCAGGTATGGGGGAATAGCCAGGGCAAAGCCACAGAGATGGGAGATGGGTGTGGCATGCAAGGAAGAGAGTCACTGGTCAGCAAGTCTGTGGAGGGGGGTCAGCCAGCCATGGTTCCTACTTCTGGATCAATTTATTTGCCCTCTGGGAGGGAGTAAAGTGGAAGTGCTGGACTTTGAGTCAGAAGGATCTGGGTTCAAGTCTCACTTCTCATACCTACTAGCTGTGTGACCATGATCTAGTCACTTTACGTTTGTGAGCCTCAGTTTCCTCCCCTGAAAAAGGTAAGGGGCAGGGTGGATTAGATGGCCTCATAGGTCCCTTCCAGCTCTGGTTCTATGATCTCAAGGTGCTAGGCTGACTGTAGAAAGCAGGTAGGTTTGAAAGTAGGTACAAAGAAGGAGATTTGAAGTCTGAGGACCCAGAATCGAATTCAGGCCTTCCACATACCATTTGCATGACCTTGGGCAAGTCCACTTGGCTTCTCTGGGGCTCATTTCTAAAATGAGGGGGTTAGGCTGGAAGATCTCTGATATCCCTTCTAGCTCTTCATCCATGTGAGTCTTAGGGCCAGGCCTGGGTTCAAATCCTACCTCTGCTGCTTCCTACCTGTGTGACCTTGGACAAGTCACATGAAAAGTCAAGACCTTAACCAACTCCCTAATTGGAGAGAGGAGGGGATTGACGCTTGGAAGTCAATGACAAGTCTGAGACTAGAAACAGTGTTCCACCCCACAACAGGGATAAAATGGCACCATGGAGAAGGCCGGATTTGGAGTTAGGATTGAAATCCTAGCTTCAACGGTTATTAGCTGTGTAACTTCAGTTAAATCATTTAACCTTTCTGAGGCCTCTGTTTCCTCATCTGTAAAATAAGGAATTTGTACTGGATGATTGTGAAGTTCCTTGTAGTTCTAAATACTTGATTTTAAATTATTCTCTTCCCTGGGCCTCAGTTTCCTCTTCCGTAAATCTAGGAGCTTGCATTAGATGGTCTCTGAGGTCCCTCCCAATTACAGAACCTACCTTGAACTATAGCACACATTTTATATACGCTGCCTCATTTGAACCTTGTAAGATTGGTCCTTAGTGGTATTATTATCTTCATGCTACAGATGTGAGAAACTGAGGCTCAGAGAGGTGATGTTGAAGGTAGGATTTGAACCCAGGTTCCTTCTGACACCAAGTCCAGCACTCTTACTGCTCGGACTGTCTCTGAGGTGGACAGGACACCGGGCTCTAGCAGCCACTGACACCCAGCTCTCAGTCCCTTCATCCATAAAATTAACTGGGCTGGATCATATCTCCAAGGTCTCAATCTTGCGTTTCTGGATTCTGCAGTTTCAACTGAGGCCGCAAACGTAATTGTAAGAAGTCTGTCTATCAGCTCATAGCAATTTTGCCCCCTTTTGGGGGACGTGGGAGGTGGAGAAGCAGAGGCGTGTTTGAATTGATGATGGAGCTCTAGGCTTATGAGAGAATAGCCACATTTGTTTTGAGTCAGGACCCCAAAAGTGACCTTTTCTTTCTCTTGCAGAAACCGCGCCGGCTGCTAGGATGGCTCAGACAAACCCTTTGCCTGGGCCTCTAGGGCCATGGAAGGTAAGCCCTTCAGCTGGAAGACCAGGGAATGAATGCCCGTCCACTTGGGTGAAAGGGCACGCTGGAAGGTGGGCTCTCAGAGGCGAGGTGGGAGTCCCAAGGCAGGCGCCAGAGACCTTCTGCTGGGCTGCTGCAGCTGATAAAATCTGACAGTCAACAAGAGAGCCAAGAAAAGCATTTGTCTACCCTAGGCAAGATTTTAATGCTGAGGCTGTACCCCCAGCGTGTGCCATCCGCCAGAAGCTTTGAACCTTCAGTGAAACCCAGAACAGTTGATTTATAGCAAGATAAATACCTCCATGCCAAGGAGAGTGGGATTTCCTGGTATTCAAAAGAAGAGGTACTTTAGAAAGTCATGTTAAAAAATCTCTCTCCTTAGGCCATCCTGGCTGGCTCCTCACCTTGTCTACAGCTAATCCTAGCAGGGGTGCCCCAAAGTCTGGCCACGGCCACACGTGGGACAAGACCTCAGGGGAAAGGACAGGGATTTTCTGCTTACAGGCCAAGGTGGGGGTAGGGGGAATATGGGGGTGTGTGATATATTACTGCATTGATAAATTATCTTTGAAAAGAAAACATACCCAAGGCCGCACCAGTCATAGCCCACATTAAGGTTTTATACAAACCAGGCTGGGGAGAGCTGGATTCAGACCAGTGGAGCTTCTGGGACATTCCCCCTCCAAATGCACAAACTACCTCCATTTCAGTAATGCCATTTGTGTTCATAGCATCAGAGATCTGGAGCCACAAGGGACCTTGTTTTACAGATGAGGAAGCTGACTTGTACAGGTCCCACAGTTAATAAGTGTCTGTGGCAGGATCTGAATCCAGGTCTTCCTAACTCCAAGTCCATAGCTCTATTCACTATATTTGTTGTTGCTCAGACGTTTTTCAATTGTGTCGGACTCTTCATGACCCCATTTGGGGTTTTCTTGGCAAAGATACTGGAGTGGTTTGTCATTTCCTTCTTCAGCTCATTTTACAGATGAGAAAACTGAGATAAACCAGGTTAAGTGACTTGTCCAGGGTCACACAGCCAGTAAGCGTCTGAGGCCAGATTTGAACTCAGGTCTTCCCAACTGCAGACCTGGCACTCTACCCACTGTGCCATCCACTATATTATGCCATGCCTGTTTTACAGTTGGTGAAACTGAGAACCTAGAAAAGGGAAATGACTTGAATTCAAGATCACCCAGGCAATCACAGACAGAACCTGTCTCCTTGCTGAGGGGCAGTATGGCAGAGTAGGGGGAAAGTCTCTCGAGTCAGGAGACCTGGGTTTGAATTCTGCCTCTGCTACTTACTAGCACTGTGACCTTGTGTAAGTCACATTAAAGTTGGACCCTTAGACATCATAGGATCTGGAACCACAGAAACAGGAAGAGATTCTGCCCTCTCTTCCCAAGGAGCTCTCCCTCCAATCATGGCTCTCTGCTTCTATGCTCTATTCCAGGCCATGGCCCTGTCCGTGCTGACACTGGATCAGGGTGTCAGTGAGAGTTCCCACCTTAAATCCTCCTCTCGAGGTCTACCAAGGAACCTGGTTACATGACCCTCCTACAGGCCAGGAGTGTTTCTTTAAACAACTTTCCTTATTCATCAGGGAATTACCACTAGATAAAAATAAGGGAATCTGAAATTTCCTGAGCTACTCTAGGTTATTTCTATACTTGCTTAAACAAAATAAAAATAAAAAAGCCCAAAAACCCGACCACAAAAACCTTTTCTTCTGGTGATTGGGAGGATAAGGTTGAGCAGAGGGCCCCTCGCCCGCCTGCTTGCCTCATTCCCATCCTCGACTCCTTCTGCCACAGGTAACCATCTATGACCAGGAGAACTTCCAGGGGAAGCGGATGGAGTTCACGGGCCCCTGCCCCAATGTCTCCGAGTGCAGCTTTGACAATGTCAGATCCCTGAAGGTGGAATGTGGCGCGTGAGTATCTAACCGCCCCGCCACCCTGCCAAATGACCCACTCTGGATGTCCCCAGAGCCGGAGTCAGTCAAAGAAGGGCCGCTGGTATCATTGCTTTGTGGAGAGGGGCTTCCTGTCTCTCCGACAAGCCTGTAACTGGTGTTGTTGCCCCATGCGGGCACCTTTCTCCCAGGGTTGTTATGAGGATGACAGGAGTGCCTGGCACATAGTAGGTGCTTAATACATGCTTGTTTCTTTCCTTCCTTCTTTCCATGTAGTGACTTGAAGTCGGGAAGACGTGCATTCAAATACCTTGGCAGCCAGGTCACTTAACCTCTCTGAGACTCAGTTTCCTCATCTGTAAAATGAACAGGCTGGACTTCTGGTTCTAAATCTATGATCCATGCTTCCAGAGGACAGGAGAAGAGGTGTGGGGAATAGTAGCCAGTATTTATATAGTACTTTATATATATTATCTTCAAGGTACAATAATTATTCTTATTTTATAGATAAGGAAACAGAGTGAAAGAGTTAGGTGGCTTGCCCAGTGTCCCACAGCTATTAAATGTTTGAGACAGAATTTGAACTCAGGTCTATCCTGGCTCCAAGTCCATTGTGCTCTATCCATACCGTGCTACCTAGATAACTATGGTGACCACCACAGGTAGAATATACACCCGCTGGAAAAAATTTGTCCCACTGGGTTGCTGCTGCCCTGAGCCAAAGCCCCACTTGCCTCTTCCTAGTTAGGCCTTTGGGTGGGACTCTTTAAGAGACGAGCCAAGCAAGAGAGAGAAGGAAATGAGTGTGGGTGCCAAGGAGAAAGAAACGGGAGCCTTCAGGTTCTAGCAATACCTTCTCTGTCTTTATAAGGGAGGGCAGGGGTTCAGTCCCCACAGTACCTACTGATGCAGTAATTTTAAAACACTAGCCTTAAGTGAGAGTCCTCCTTTGATGTTTCACCCGGGTCTAGAGGTGATCCTGGGTTCTAGAAGGCTTTATCCATGAGAACACAAACTTTGGCATCAATATGACCTTCAGGTATAAGTGGTGATGGCTTGGAGAATCATTACCAGGTTGGCTGTTGGTGGAGACTTTTTTTTTTTAAACAAAACCAACTCTTAGAGACCATCTCCAAAAGGAGAGAGGGGCCATGCCCCCGACAAAATGACAGAATTTTGTCACCAGAACCCTGAGCTATAGGAAATTCGGAGAATGCTTCCTGGATCAGCTTGATAGTGCCAAGGATATTAAAGGACCAAGCATACCACACGAAGGTGGGAAGGCAATAATCAGATCTTCGTCCTTGCCTTCTCTTTTCCACCCCTTCCACTTCTCAGCCCACAGGTTAGGTGCCCTCTGGTTCATGAGGGTCTAATACCAGATGTGGGCCTTTTGTATATAAAGCCCCATTTTGGGAGAAGATAGGCATCCCTAGTCCTCTGCCTCAAATCACTCCTTGTTTTATGCTGGAGAGACCTGGCAAAGAGACCTACACTCTCCCTGACTGGATGATAACAATAATAATAGTTAGTATTTTAGTCTGCAAAGTACTATGTATGTATATGTGTATATAACTCATTTTATCTTCACAACAACCCTTAAAGTAGGTGCTATTATTATACCTACTTTACAGAGGAGAAAACCGAGTCTCAGACGGTTAAATCACATGTCCAGGATCCCACAGTTTGTTAAGTATCCGTGGTAGGATTTGAATACAGGACTTCCTGACTCCACATCTTGCAACCTATTCAGGACACTACATTGCAAAGGCAGAACCTTTCCTCTCTGAAAGTTCTCCCGTTGATCTAGCCTTGTGGGGGGAAAGAGGGTGGGAATGTGCCATTTGTGCCCTGGCTCTTAGGGTCCCACGCCAGCAGGAGAGAGAGCATGGCTTGCCACAGGTGCATGGCTTGCCACAGGTGCGTGGCTCAGTGGCTGCTTCCATGGAGACTGGCAGCCAGAGGCCTCCCCCTGCCCTCGGACCTGCTGGTCCAGAGAAGCCCATTCTTGATGTCCAGGTCAGAGAAAGTAGGCGGGCTTTCCCTGCAGCCTCCATGCAGCAGAACCATACATGTTACAATCCCCGTCTTCCAGGGCCCCCTTGTGGATGGTCAATCTTTCTGTCCTGACAAGAAATCTCACTCTTTTCTCCTATCCTGTCTCTTCACAGGTGGATTAAAATCACAGTCCACTTTGACATCAAGGGAAACGTTGTTGACTGGCTCACTGATTGATGCCAGAATAAGGAAAGCAGGATGGGGTGGAGAGGGAAGGGAAACAATTAGCAATAATAATCATTAACATTTGTATAATACTTACTATGGGCCAGGCACAGTGCTAGGCTAGGTGCCTTGCAAATATTCATTTGATCATCACAACAACCCTGCAAGGTGGAGGTTATTATTATAATTATGCCCATTTTGCAGATGAGGAAACTGAGGCAGACAGAAGTTGTGACTTTCCCAGGTTAGTAAGTACCGAGGGTCAAATTTGAACTCAACTCTTCCAGACCCCATGCTCTACCCACTGTGTCACCTAAATGGTCATAGAACCAGGGAGGCAGGGGTCGGCTGAGTGGAGAAAAATCCAAAACTCTTCTTTTTTTACTCTAGGTCTCTAGATTTGGGTGATTCAAGGAAACAGGAGCCTGATAACCTAGAATCTCACTTAGCTCTACAGACAGCTATTGCAATCCCTCTATTTTGTGTCTTGAAGGACAAGGAAGCTAGGCAAAGGGTGGGGAGGGCGATGGAGCCAGGTCAAAGACAGAGGCACCAAATTGTGGAATTGGAGCTCCAAGTATGGAATTTGAGTAGGGAAAAAAAAAAAATTAAAGTAGGTTGTCAAATTAGAGCGTTCTTAGGATACTGGACGGGCTATTGGGCGACCGAAATAGCAGAAAGAACACTCAGCGGGGTGTCAGAAGAGTCGAGTTTGAATTCCGGCTCTGTAACCTACTAGTCTGGGAAGCTAGGAAGATGCATCTTCCTGGATTCAAATCCAGCCTCAGACACTTACTAGTTGTGTGACGCCGGGCAAGTCACTTCACCCTGTTTGCCTCAGTTTCCTCATATGTCAAATGGGCTGGAGAAGGAAATGGCAAACCACTCCAGTATCTCTGCCAAGAAAATCCCCCCAAAATGGGGTCACAAAGAGTCGAACATGGCCGAAACAACAAGCTAACTAGTTATGTGACCTTGGGTAAGTCTAGCAACCTTTCAAAGCCTCAGTTTCTTCATCCATTGAAAAAAAAGTGAGGCTGGACTAGATGACCTCAAAGATCTCTTCCAGATCTAAATATGTAACATGGGTTCTGATCAGGTGAAGACCAAGTTTCCAACAAACTCTCAACCCCTTCATTGAAGGAGTGCGATAAATTACCCCAAACCACAGATAAATCAAAAATTCCATCTATTAACCTCCCCATTTGGGTCCCTGGTGCCATCATGGTGAAGTTGTTACTTAGATGAAATAATGTAAACTGTAAATAATTACACATATGCCAATTATCATTATTTCTTATTCCAGGAGGCAAGGTCCTACAGGTGCTGCATCCTGGATGATGCCCTTGGGGGAGTCAATATATTTAAGTAAATGTGTCTGTTGCTTTGGTCTGTACCGGGATCTGCCTTGACCCATCTTTCCACAGATGGATCGGTTATGAACACACAAGCTTCTGTGGGCAGCAGTTTGTCCTGGAGAGAGGAGAGTATCCGCGTTGGGAAGCCTGGAGTGGGAGCAATGCCTACCACGTGGAGCGTCTCATGTCCTTTCGCCCAATCTGCGCCGCGGTGAGTAGCTTGAAGCTTGTGGTCCACGTGTGAATGAGGAATGGCGGTACCATCGCTTCCCACAGAGATGGTCCAAGGGAATGGTGTGGGGGAGGCTCCTCCTTCAGGACCATATAGTACTATCATTTGTCCTTGCTCTCCTGGCCGTTTTCCCCCAGGTGAGCTTTGAAAGCCTCGTGGTGGGGGTAACCTAAGTGTAAATGACACCCAACCAGATTGCTTTTACCTTAAATGTTTAAGAACAGATGACTAGCAGCTGAGTCTTCCACATGGTAAGGGAAAGAGGATGTTCCTCAGACAAATTACTCCCCTTTGCTAAATTTGGGTGGGTATTTGTTGCAAAAACAGGACAAGTGATTGAAGTAAGTCAGGATGTGCCTCATCTGTCTGCCCGAGGCTGTTTTGACCCCTAACATTTTCACCTAACTTTCTGAGAATGACAGTTGTCCCACAACAGAATAGGCTGTTTCCCAAAGGTGTAGGCTCTGTTACTCTCTGAATGTACAAGGAAGACCATTGGACACTGTAGAAGGACTTCCTACCTTTGAAAGGGTGCTCATTTTGAATATACTCTATGATTTATTTGAGAGGCAGTGCGGCATCATGAATAGACAGACTACTGGCCCTGGCATCAGAAAAACCCGAATTCAAATCCGGTTTTGATAGCACTAGCTGTGACCAGGAATAGTCCCTAATTTCTCAGTACCTCACACAACTCTCTGCCTATCTGAATCAGTAGAGGATGGTTTTTTTCCACACCAGGAGATCCTTACACTGATGGAACCAGAGTTCTAGACCATCAAAAAGTAAATGTTCACTGAATGATCTCTGAAGCCCTCTCTTTAGTCAAGTAAAGTCTATTCTAGGCTTACATTTATTTTGACTACTTTAAAAGATAGGGTTTTTTTTTTTCTCCCACAAAGAATTGAGGATAATAAGACTAGTTTTGGAGCCACTCCCAGGTTCTCTTGTTCTTGGGTTACAGAACCATAAGGAATCCAAGATCATGATCTTTGAGAAAGAAAACTTCATTGGCCGCCAGTGGGAGATCTGCGATGACTACCCCTCCTTGCAGGCCATGGGCTGGTGCAACAATGAAGTTGGTTCCATGAAGATACAATGTGGAGCGTAAGTGAGAAATGGAATTCAGGCATCAGTAGACACATGCCCATGAGTGACTTCATTTCTTTTCTATTGAGTTTTTATGAATTCAGGTTAGGGAATCTTACCCATATTTGGAAAGAGTGCGGGACCAGAAGTGAGAGGATCTGGGTTCAAACCCCAGTCCTGACACTTAGAACCTGTGTGACCCTTGGAAAAGTCACTTAAGCTCCCTGGGCCTGTTTCCTAAATTGGCAAAATGAGGTTAAATGAGATGATTTCTGAGGCTTTTTAGCAGCTCACATCCTATGGGTATTGGGCACAAAAAAGCCTTCACTACACTTATTCACCATTCTAGCACATTAAAGATGCCTAAAAATGCCTTTTTTTTTAAAAAGTCTCTGCCTGAGCAAAGAAACACTAACTGTTCATAACAGTAGACCTTCATCCTCACTGGTCAATTTTTAACTATTAGTGGGACTTTTTGGGTTGTCACTGAGTTCCCTTCCCCACAAACATTCATGTAGTTCCTAATCCATGTACCAGCCCAAGTACAAAAAGTATTTTTCTGGCACCTCAGGAGTACATACCAAAGCATTCTGTGGTGAGAATAGGCTTCACGCATTCATGAATTACTGTTTCACAAAATCAACTCCATTTCACAAATTGGGTTCTGGTAGGATTTCTAGCTCAGTCTTCAAGTGTTAGATCTGGCTTTCACTCCATTTCAGTGTTCGGCTAACAAGGTGACTATTTGGGCTTTCCTAGATGGGTCTGCTACCAATATCCTGGATACCGTGGGTACCAGTATATCTTGGAGTGCGATCACCATGGAGGAGACTATAAGCACTGGAGAGAATGGGGCTCTCACGCCCAGACTTTCCAGATTCAGTCAATCCGACGCATCCAGCAGTAGATTCCCCGAGACTGGGAGAAGCCGCCAGCGATCTAAAACCATTCTATTTACTTACTTTGAAAAGAATGGGTTTCATTGTACCGCTCATAAACCATCACTTTTGATTTGCGAACAACTGATAAAAATTCTCAATAAATGTCATTAAAAGAAAAAACAAAGACCAAAATTGCAGGGCTCAAGAGGTGTAAATAACCGTCAAGGGTCCCTTTCTATGAAGTCACTAAAGGTGCTGAGCTCTAGCCACTTAAATGTGTTTTGTTGGCAAAAGTATTCACGGAAACGGACTCTACGATTTTAAAAGAAATCTAATATCCTTTATGTCAGTTGTGACACAGGGCAGGGTGCTGGCTGCTGGTGCCTCTGCACTAATTTCCAAATGACTGGGCTTCATCCTGGTACTGGTACGGTACCAATAGTCTCGACGGCTTTCCAAGCATTTGTAAAACCAAGGCTCAAAGGCACTACCTTTATGTAGCACCAACACGTTTAAGGAGATACATGGGCAAGGAATACTGATATAAAAACAGAAACTCTGGCGAAAGAACACGCACTGAATAGGCAGGCAGATTTTGTCTTTGCAGGATTTTATATGACGGCTCGGCTACACACTCCTCTTACCTCCATTTAAGGAATAAAGGAAGTGATTTCTTCCCTGCATTCTCTAAGAGATCCAACCTGTGTACCCAGTTCCCTGCTGTGACCAAAGTCAAGAATTAAGCCCAGAATGTTTCTCAGTCGCAGACTGCTCAGGAAAGCTGAATGGTCTGTATAAACTCACTTTTAGTTTCACCACACTATGTTCTCACGGTTGTGCATAGTCCTCATCCAGCACCCTTTCCATCCTGTGAGGAATTCCACACTTTTTTTCTTTGCACAGGGGAGTAGTGGGTGGCCACAACAAGATCACATAACTATCCAAGTATCAGAAGTTTATCTTCCTCACTACTCTGAATGTCCCAGTGAAGGGTCTAAAGTCCAGTACAGTTATTCTTTTACCTGGATTAACTTGGTAGGACTATAGCATAGAAGGGAGAAGATGGAGCCATCCTATCCATGCTTGCTCAATCTCGGCCTTCAAATACTTTATCCTTTCACCTTGAAAATGCCCAACGGTTAAGTCAACAAGATTACTCACACTGCTCTCGGACAGTGCTTCTACGATCCAGCTAACAGAAAGGGGTCAAATGGAATACGCACAACACCTCTTAAACTTTAAAACTTTTATTCAACAATTTACATTACTTTGATCTACAAATTTTCTGGGTTTTTTTTTTTCCCCGATAAAATAAGTAAATCTAGGTACGGTTGCAGAGCTGTTGTTGGGTCAGCAGAATAAATGAAATTCACGCGGCTTTTTTGTCTTTTAAAACACTGGATGTGAAGACATCAACAAAGAAAGATTATGTCATGTAACTGACATAGAGCCTCCTTGGCTCTATGATGTCAGATAGAGCTACAGCAAATACCTAAGCAATTAGCTAAAAGGTTCATCTCTGGTCATTGCTCTCAGATTTGGAGAATGCCTGGCCTTTTCACTGGGTAACGCATTTGAACGCTTTATGAAATTACTTGGGAGGCCGGAGAGAGAAGGGAGAAGGGAAAATCTTAGTATTTATGCCGTGGTATCCCACCCTTCCCTCAAACTAAGAGGTAACTCAGCTCCTAAAGAAACAAGCTGCCATGACAACCCCCTCCTCGTCACGTTCTAGGGTAACTGGACACAAACAATGACCACTGACAGATGCTCTACAATAGGCTTGTCCACCTACGGCAGAGCCTGTGCACACTCGAGCGCACTTTGGCCTTTCAGGCCATGCAGCTGAGTGGATCTTTGAGTCTGTGGCTGATGGCATAGTTTAACTGCCATGAATACTGACAATACAGAAAAGAGGTGGGAGGGGGGCATCTGCCAGTGTTTTTAAAGTCAACACACATTAAGGACCTCCAGGTGGGTTCCAAAACCACTGAAGGTATATAAGCACACATGTGATGACTGAAAAATAGCCCTCTTCTGTACACTGGAAAAGCTGTAACATTAGCTAAGGATTTCTGCTGGATCTAAGAGCATAGGAGGAAAAACTGTTAAGTGATCTCTTTACCACAATGGTTAGCCTTTCCTAAACAAAGGCCCTAAGCTACATTACCCCCCCCCCCAAAAGAAATCTTTAAAGAATGGTTCAACTAAACCAGATTAGGACATTTATACATTTTTTTAAAAAGCAAACACAAGAAGTAAAGCTATTTAGTGCATGCAAATCGCAGCAACTTAACTGGCCCCATATTCCTTCATTAAGTAACAAGGGCAATTGTCCTGGGACAAACTTCCCCAGACAGTTTTGTGCTTCTTCTGCAAACACCCAAACAACATTTTGGGTGAGTGTAGCAGCTAAACTAATCTCAAAGTCCACTTCCTGTATTTGAACACGACCAAAAAACTATGTTAAAACAGTGTGAAGTAACTCAACCCTACCTTTAAACCCACTTACAGTTAAGACATTAAATCGGCCAAAGCTTCCGTGAAATGGTCCTTTCATTCCAACTTAGTTCACGTCCCTTCTTTTGATCCAAGAAATAGTGGTATAATTCTTACCAAAGGAAGCAATAGCATAGGGTTGGGGGTGGGAGAGTTACTCAAATCTCCCCAACAAAACAACATTTAACCTAAGCCAAGCTCTCCTTTCCAAACTGGGTCTATTGCTAGGAGTGCTCTTTCTTCCTGTTTCTGTAGTTTTGAGGTAGACCAGAACTGTGGTCTCAAGTTATAGCTTCCCTCAGAGATGGCAAAGCTAAGAGCAGCACGGGAGAGAATGAGAGGGACAGGTGATGTCACTTCTGGTAATGAGACACACAACTTTCAAAACATGTGCATAGCTTTATTCATCTGCTTAGAACTAACCTTTTCACGGAGCTTCAGCAAAACCCGAGTGTGCAAAATGCGTTTCTAAGAAGTAATGCGAGCAAAGCGTTTACATCCACACCAGCACAGGTACAGAGACTAACAAGTCACACTAGGGAGAGCGCGTCTGGAGGCGTGATGAGAAATGGAACAAAGGAGAATTGCACAGTTCATCATTTCCAGACAATGGTTGCTGACAAGCATTTTTCTTTATTTTTTGTTTTTATTTAATAATAAGCAAGGTGCTGTATTTTAACAAAAACTTTTAAATTGGAGGGAGCTTATAGCCCTCTAGCAGCTCCCACAGAATGCCAGAGCAAAGTTGGCTCCATCCCTCCCAGGGTTTCGCAGACAAAGCATTTTAGAACCCCTTCAGTCAAAGGGGCAGGGAGAACACGGAAAAGGAACACGAGAAATCTGTCACACGACTCGAGGAAGGTGCTGAAAGCCAGCAGGCAGCGGGAAGAGAGGGCTCTCCTCACAACCTACAGAACAGCCACTAACACATGAAGAGTAAAATATAAATTGCCCCAGTTCTAAAGCAGTTCCAGTTTGTGACAGGACGAATAACCACAGAGATCAAAGGGTGAGCTCATCTTTCGGCATGAAATGGCAAGAACGTGGACCTCAGAAACTACTAAAAGATCTAGTTTTTTTCTTAAAAAAATACACATGCAAGGCACATTGATATAAAAATATAAAACTCTGGCTAAAGAAAATGTACTGAATAAGCAGGCAGATTTTTGTTTCTGTAGTATTTACATACCATGGGCAAAATTTAAATTTTGTTCTCAAAAATCTGACTAGGTAAGGCTAGGCTACACGTTCCTCTTATCTCCATCGAAGGGATAAAGGGAGTGATTTCTTACCCTATTTGGTGTTTTCTTCCCTGTATTCTTAAACAATTTCCTTTAAGATCCCTTATTCGCTTAAAAATTTTCCCTTCCCTCTTGCCAAGTCCCACTTAATCTGTATATACCTGGGTTTACCTTTGGTCCAAGGCAACAGATAAAATAGAAGTCAGTCTGGACTCTAAACAAACAAAAGCATGCATTACCAGTACCCCTTCATGAGCCAATATTTTCTGGTATAGGAATGAATCTCCCTGCGGTCTCCATTTACTTTTTAAGAATTTACTCACTACCTCTTTTGCAAACTCATTATAGAATGATGCAGTATTGGGGGAACTGTCCTTGCACAACACCTGCACTACCCTCTCCCCCAAGACTACCACAATTACAGGTTCACCTGGTAATCTGAACATCCCTCGCCTTCCCCACCCCCCCCAACAAAAAGGGTCCATTTCTCTTAAATAGACTATGGGGATATTAAGTCTAATTGGCTAACAGCAGCACTTAAATGACAATTTCCCCTCTATATATTCATCACATTAAGGAAAGTCTTCACCCAGGGCAACAGAGTTCAAGGTTCTTTTCCAGGAAGTCACATATCCTTTTTGACTTTAAGAAGTCATTTCCCCCCTTCTGCCTCCATCTCCTGATACAGAAGGACAAAGCTATAAAGGGATTAATTTTTGATAGTGGAAAAGGAACTTTTTTTTAAGGCCAAAAAGCTTTACAGTAACAGGCTCATACTGCTTCTGTTGCCCAGTCATTGTCCTTCATGGGTATCATGGTAAGCCACCTCCACTGATGTGTTCCCCCTTTTCTCCTCTCCTCTCCAACAGTTTCCTAGTCACTCTTAAGAGTTAGTGGCTGTGCTGCAGATAAGGGACCTAAGCAACCCAGGAAGAATCATGGCGTATTGTTCACGGAAAAAGTGCATCACATTCTTGATTTTCAGTCACTCATAGCAGCAGCAGGAGCTTTAACCCAAGACAACATGAACACAGTTCTAAGTCCATTCTTAAATGCAGCAACACAATGAAATGTCTTCAAGGTCAAGAGAGGTTCCTCAATAAAGAATAAACAATAAAGACTATTGACAGAGGGTCAAATTAAAAAGGCATAATTCTTATTTACATATTAAAACAAACCATTTGTTAAAATACTTAATCTTTACAACACCTAGCCAAAAAAAAAAAAAAAAAAGAGACATGAGTAAAGCGGAAATTCCTAAAAGCAGTATCCACTTTTGGAACCCTTATTTAGCACCTGAGGAAAGACTGTAATGGAAAGCCAACAGTTTCAGCGGCAAACTGCAAATTTTACATCAGCTTAAGGTTGGTATGTTTGCCCTGTACAATTTTCATACCAAAGAGATGCAAATGGGACTTTTTTTTTTTTAGAAGTTTCTATTGTTGTTAATAAGGCTGTAGAAAAGGGATACATACTACGATGTTACAAAATGGCTCTAGAACTCTGAACATAAACAAAGCTTTAGGATGAAGTGTAAAAGAGGAAATATAGATCCACCGATCCCAGAACACTCAGGGACTGATTTTCCCCAAGGATTTCCAGCACCTATTAGCCATATGCTCCTAGGAATGCAGAAGGAATTGCTTTACTACTAGACTCACCAGTGGTTAGCCATCTATCTACACTGCCTCTGGAATTCAGCTGTTATACCAGGTCCAGACATTAAGACTGCGAGTAAGCCACCTGTACTATGGTGACATTGTTGTGCAAACTCTAATCACAAAGCTCAGTTAATGCAGGGCATGAGCAGAGTCACTTTGCTCATTAGATCTTCAGTCCAGGTTCATGCTTCTCACAATTTGCACAGACTCACCTATTTATGGACAATGCACAAAAACGGCTCCCCATACCTGAAAACAATCCTGGCGCTTCCCTCAGCATTTAGTAACCTTGGCTTCAAGGATTAGGGCGCTAGTGTGGTTTGCCTGGGCCGTTTGTGCTTCCAGCTTTGCTTCCTACTTTTCCCTCTTAAAGAGCTCCTAAAATACCCAGAGGTAAAACATTCTTCCCCAAATTAAATGGAAAAACTGCACAGAGGACAAGATTAAAGACCTTTGTCCCTACTTGAGTGGCATTCTCAGTCTGACCTGATGATACCCTGCCCTCCCTTCCAAAAAACCTGTCAGCCAAATACATCATCCTTCAACTGCACTGGCGGTAACAGCTCTGTCTTACATACGGGAATAAAGCTCTCTCTTTAGCAGCTGTTTACTGTGAAGGTACACTTGTGTGGTCTGGGGAAACGGACAAGTGGTCCAACCCGAGATTCTCTGTAGAAGCCAGCTCTCCTCTTTGAAGAACATGAGGTTGGAGGGGCTAAAGAGGAACCCCATCCCCACCCCACATTTAGCTGTGGCTAATCAGTCCAGAGTCTTATCTCCAAGTTCCCCCATCGGGACATTCAGTGTGTACACTGTAATAATTTCACACCAAATGCCTTTTCTGAAGTCTTTTTTTAAGTTCACAGCAATTAAAATAAGAGAAGCTGCTGGATAATTTCATGTGGGATAGCAGCAGCTACGACAGCTGAACCATGAGCCTGCCTCGGCCCTTTCCCCCTGGAACTTCATGGAGGTTACTTGTGTCTATCACTCCATGCAAATTTTTTTTTTAAATGGCAGCTCTTACAAAAAGATTAAGATTTTGCAGATTCTCAGTGAGCAGTGACTAGCTAAGCCCCCAAAGCTCTACGACAGAAAAGAGGTAACAGCTCTTAGGCTATTTTACAGAAAGACAAGATCCACAAGGCAGTTACCTTGCCCGGCATTCCTTCCTGGAAAAGAAAGAACAAGCTGACGTACCAAACATCCCAACATCCCTTCTATGAAACCTGTCACTTGTTAAAGCAGAAAGCGAGACTCTAGCCATGTGATTAACTTCAGCAGGCTGAAGTGGAAGAGGAAGCAAAGACAAACACACCCTGTCTTTAAGGGGGATGGGGGAAGGAATTTACTCAAGACTCTTAGAGGAAAGTGGCATGTGACATAGGAGCCTACGATCAAGACAGATTTTTAAAGAATTCTTCACCCTTAATTAGTATCTTCATTGCTATTAAAAAAATAGGTCATGAGCTCATTCTTAGTGCCATATTTCAAATACTACCTTATTTTTTTAAAAGATTAAAACCACCTGACTTTGCTCTGTATAATGAAAACAAATGGCACAAAATAAATACAAGTTTGTTCTCTGAATACTAATGCTTTACACACATTCTTTTACTTCCAAGCCTTCACTGTCATTTCCCTCCTCCTCACATGCGGCACACACACGCACACAAACACACTATTTTCAGTCTTTAGAATGTAGGGATACTGTAATCCCTCAGACTGTATTTGGTTTTATGCTACAGTACTAATACTCTGAGTAGAAGGAAAATTCATTATACCCAACAGTAACACATCATTATTTAAATGTGCTAAATTAATCACAGCTGAGTTTAAAGTTTACACAAAATAATCAGAAAACAGATTAACTCTTAAGATTTTTTTTTTTTAATAAGTGCTCTGGAAGGAATTGTGTGAGGACCTAAGGAGAAACTTTTCAGACAAGTAGAGAGTTAAGTGTTACAAAACCGGCACGAAGGAGGTTTATCCCAATATCCTGCTTGTCCCTCAGCAAAAATGTCCATTAACCCAATGCCCAGAAATACTGACTTAATGTGGTAGGGGCATTAGGGTTCCCAGAAAGACAAAAGTTTCTAACTACAGAAATCTAACCATATGATCCAGCTAAAATTCAATGGAAAAAAAGTGAAATGTTCAGTCTACGAGTACAGCTCTCCACCATCCGTGCAGAGGAAAAGGGAAGGCAGGCCGATCCTTGCCCCTTCCCTAAGGTGTAGGGGGCCCAGGGAGGAAGCAAGGAAGACAGGTGCCAACGTAGTTTGCTTATTATCTTTTGACAATTTATTTGAAAGTCCTTAGGCTAAGTAGTGTTTCCTCAATACTCACTAAGTTTTGCTTCTACATACGGAAGGTCAGATTTAAGTTTGGTTGGTTAATTTTGTTTCTTAAACAACAATGTGTATAGAGAAAATTTTCATTCAACTTCTGAACCTCACTAACCCCAGAAAAGCTGCTGGGGGATGGGACGGGGACAGGGCGTGATGGGCCATAAGACTTGAAAATCAAAGGTGAGCAAAACAGACTTGGGAGAGGAAAAAAAAAATGGAATCTGGCCCTAAGGCGGCAAGTGGTTACACAAGGCAATTGAACACACAGCAGAACTTTAAAACCAGTAAAACAAACTGGAGCCTTTTTTTTTTTTAAAGCAATCTTATAATGTTTTGACTTTTTTTTTAACTTTTAAAAAATTTTATTTAAAAAAAAAAAAACACAAACACAGACTTCTTCCAACCTCAGTATTATGCTGCATTTTCCAGTTTGTTCAATGCTTTAAAGCTCACGGATGCCTCTGCTCAGAGTTGTATGAGAGCCTGAGACATCCTAGCTTTTGGCAAGCAGGCAGGAGACTCAACAGAATTAAAATAGGAACACAGGCAGACTAGATGCAGGGCACATCTGTAAACATATTATACATTTGAAAATTACAACATTTGTAAAGGTGATACAGTTTACAGGTGAAATGAAACTATTCTGGAACTGGCCAACCACAAGTTTCTGAACCTGGACTGATACAATAAGTTATTTTTTTTTAATATATATATTATGTATAAAAAGCTTGTTTACATAAAATGGAGTTGGCAATCCATGCTTATACTTTTAAAATCTAAGCAGGGCAGAAACCAGCAGACTTTTAAAGATATTTAGTTTCTCTATCCTATGTTGAATCCAACAGCTTCTTTTAGGAACTACCTTAATGAAAGCCTTAAATAATTAACAAAACCAGACAACCCATCAATGCTACAATCTCCAAATATTGGACACACCTAAACAAAAGGGGTTCGGCAAGACAAGTTACTTTATCCCCTAATGCCCCATAGGATCCCATCTAATCTTATTAGAAAATACCTTTCCATCTAAATGCCCAGCTATTTAAGCTGTATTTTAAGTGTGGGTGCTTTTTTTTTTTTAAATTCTAGTACCTGTGATGGTTCAACAGGTCAGAGAATTTATTTTGCCACTAACATCTGGCTGATCTTATATTGGACCCTTGATTTTTGCATCCCCCCCTCCCCCCACCTAGGCAAAAACAAAAAAAGCAAAAACCGTTTTAGCGTGCTACACACAAGCTGCAGTGCACAGGATGGCTGTGAGGGGGAGCCAAGGCTTATGCTCTCTCTGACATAAAGGTCTTCCCAGATTTTCACATTCCATTCCTTTAAAAAAGTTTGCTCTAGTAATAAAATATATTTAATAGAGAGATAATTAGAAGCAAATAGCTCAGAAGAACACAGATTGCAGGAAAATAGAAAAGGGTACCTTTCAGGGGCAGCGTTTATATCGTCCCCACTGGCTAGAAACAAACACGGAAACATTTTAGTTCTCACAGGCTTTTTTTCCCTTTTTCTTTTCTTTTTTAAAATGACTTAAGAAAAAAAAATTAAGGGGTAAGGAGTATGCAGAAAAGGAACATAAACATATTTTTCTTCAGATTTGTGATGAAAAACAAGGAAAACCCCCAGCACATTTAGTGTTAGACAGAGCAAGTCTGGAGCACCTACAGTTGAAAAGCAGGGTATATTTTTGCTCCCACTTACAGTTAGATAAAAATGTGGGAACAGTCTTTTTGTATGTTAAATGACTAAACCAATTGCGTGTTCTGTAACTTGTCTTAAAATGACACTCCTATGAATTCTTCAGTCGTAAAAGTCCAATGTGTCACTGAAGCCAAGTCAACTGTGCACCACCTATTATTCCAGAATTGCAGGGTTTCCATCCCCCTCCCACCCCCCAAAGATGACAATTTCCCCAGCACCCCACAGGCTGTTTTACTCCGGGCAAGACATGCAAACTGTATCCTGGAAAAGGCAACCCTGCAAACTTCAAGGCATTTCTATCCAGCATTCTTGTAGGGTTCAAAGTAAAACAAAAAGACTGAACGAGTGGGGGAAAATGTTGAATCATTCTGGGTTCCGTGATTAGCGAATCCCTAGTCACAGAACAAGAAACCGAGACCTTTAAAAGCGGAATTGCCTCTCCAGTGGGTCATTTGTTGCCCAAGTTGATGACAGCAGGAACTTTGGAACCACACTTGTGTATTGAGTCTGTATTCATTAATCACTTGCATTCACTCTTTAAAACAAAACAAAAACTAACAAAAAGAAAAAAAAATCTACTCAGTACCGGAGATTAAATAACCATGTGTAGTCTCTTGAAATAAATTTTCTGATTCCTTAAGAAGTCTAATTACTTTCAGTTGCCTCTTTTTTTTTTTAAATAACTATATATATATTTGTATATATTATCCTGTGATTCTACTTATGGTTCCTCTGCTGCACTGAAGATCTAGAAGGAGCATCAAAGCCTCGTGTCCCCCATGAGTGGCTCTAATGCTGCAGAAAGGTGACAAACAGGCAGCCTGTCCTGCTGTCTGTCTGTCTGTCCTGCTGCCTTCATTGATCTGGACTATCCATGGCTTCGTCATAAGTGATTATCCTTTGGGGATCTGTGGGAGGGAAAGAAAAGGTGAAATGACGCTTCAAACACGACTCCCCTAAGAAACACCCCACCAACTTAACTGTCGCTGAAAATTTTCTCACATGTAACTGTCACAATCCACGTACTTGCCTCTTTGCACTCCAATGCAACTCCCAACAGAATGTTCAAGAGTCCATACAGATCAGTGCAAATTAAGTTTAATTTGATCACTGTAGGTACACTTAGAAGTGAATCCTACACCAAAATATGTGGCTACACATATATATATATATATATATATATATATATATGTATTTAAAGATAAGTTTGGCAGAACTTTGTTCTTTTTAATCACACACACACACACACACCCACCCACCCTAAGAGTATGTTGTCTCTTGGGTTGGAAATATCCAATAATAAAAATATCCATGTAGTGTGTGTACTATGCTAGTCCAACTCTCAGGCAATCTTGTTCTAAACTTTTAGATTAGATTTAAAAGCTCCTGCTCCCATCTTTAGAGAGCCTTACTTTTTGAGGAACCATGTACACCCCAATTTTCCTTATTTTTTACGAAATGATATTTTAGAAACGTATTTAATCTTCAAAATATAAGCCCAGGACATGATTATCAAAGATGCCTAAGTAAAGAAGATAAAGATGAAAATGAACTTATAAGAATCCACATTCATTCCAGACCCAATATTTAGAGGTCTAGTCATGGGTAGGTAAGAAGAAAATCTGAGGTTCCTAGGTAGAGGTGAGCTGTGAACAAGTCTTTTCCAATTAAACCACCATCCCCTGACCAGCTGGCAAATAGATTTGGTTCAATTGCAAGGAAAATTAGCACCCACTTAAGATTACAGAAACTATGTGCTTCTCTATAAGGAAAAGATCTATTGAGTGCAGCTTCATATCCATCCTAATTTTTTGTGTCAACAGTAACAGCAGAAATGAGGATAAATGAACACAGAGAGGAACTCCTAACCTCAACTGGTTCGGGGTATCATCTAATGGAGAAGGGAGGAAGAAAAAAAAATATTTTGGGAACATTGAAAAGAATTAACAAGAGATTTGATACCACAGAGATTAAGTGTGCATTATTTTACTTAATTTATACAAGGCCAAAATAGCAATTAGTCTCTAGAAGTATCTTATAATGTTCTTGTGGTACTTAGGAACTGGAGAGCTCACCAAGGAAGGAGCCCTTTCTCATCAGCACTTCCTTTAACTACAAGGAACTTCTCAAATGAGCTAAATGTGACCTGAGAAGGCAGGGTAGAGTCTACTCCTGATACTAAGTGCGGAACAGGAAGGATGATAAGCCAGGAGGAAGAAGGGAAATAAGAAAAGAGTAAACCCAGGGAAGTCTCTTAGGGAGGCCACATGTGGGGACCCTGGGTAGTGGCAGCAAGGATACTGAGAGCTTCCAGCCCAAGTTTTGCCTGTACAAACATTCATTTATTTTTGGCTAAAAACACCTCTACCTAAATCGTTAACGAACGCCAACACTGCAAAGCCCTGATTTTCTAGTGAGAACACTGGACTGTCAGCGTACTTGGATTTTAGTCCTCATTCCAAAGTAGGTGCCCTTGAACAAATCATTGAGTATCTACGGAGCTTGGCTGCCTCACCTGTAAATGAGGAGCTTGCTAAGTCTTTTGCTGTATGTCTAATTTTAGGTATTTTAGAAATTGTTCTTAGGATGTTTCCAATGTTATTTTAGCCTGAAATACAGTCAATACTAGCCAAAAGGTACATGAAGACTCAAAATTCAGTGCATTTGTCAATGTGTTTGGATGTGATATGGATTCTCATATATTAAAAATTTTACTTTCTGGATAGTTCATGCAGTTCACTAACATTTGGGAAGGAGGCACAAAGTAAAATGTTACATCTGCATTATATTGAATTTAGCTTTTTAAAAGACCTCAATGTACATCAAGTTTCAGGGCCCAAGAAGAAAAATTAGATTGATATATAATCAAGAAATTATGCTTTTACATATACAAAGTTTTTATTCAAGTACTAACCATCTGTGGATTGAAGCCTCTAGCATCCTGTCTACCTTTCTAGATATTTCAGACCTTAGCATTTCTTCCCATAGACATGCAAGAGCAGAAAGGAAATGCTGTTTCCAGCACTATTTGACTGTGCCCCTTGATTCTTTCCTTGGCCTGAAGCTAAGGGATCCAATAAGGTTTTGCTAATCCTTTCTAGGACTATGAACGCCAATGACTGAGGGTTCAGTTTTCTCCTCTCTTCCCAAAGAGTGTCAATCACCCAGTGGCAAGAACTGGAGGCCCCTACAGCATCCCTCCTGGCAGCCACGGGCACTCCCCCCCCCCCCCAATACTGCTGGTATTGATCATTTCCATTCAACATAATCCTCACGACTTACCTTGCTTCTGCAAATTCCAAATAGATTCCATTTCTGCAAAAACAACAAGAAAGCAGTATTACTGAATGCTTCAGATAGCAATGCTTCTGACTTTAATGTTAAGACTTAGAACATCCAGGATGATGTGAATAACCATTTTTTAGACATTCTAGAAAGCTCTGGGAAACAGAGAAGGAAGTAGCCCTGGAGTCCATAATGGGGGGTTCCTGGCGACTTCCACTCAGTAACATAGACCAGAGATAGGGATATCACCGCCTTAAGAACTTCCAAGTGTTGATTTTAGGAAGGAGCTATTTGATGACTGAAATTAAACTACTGCCACACCATTTTTTTCTTGTTTGTAGTCAGGATCTGGTGAAGCATGCTGTCTATGATCAGGTTGGCTGTCATGGTTCATCACTGGAAAACCTCGGCAGCACAAGAACAGAATGACTTGTGGATCATTTGAAATAAATTCATTGTTACAGAATAACAGAGCCAACAGCCATTTGAGAAATACTTCGAGACTATCAAAGAAGTCAGTCTTCTAAAATAAATATCTGATAGATACAAGAATCAAGATTCTATGAAAAAGGCAAAACTTGCTTGAGTGAAGTTAAGTAGAACCTGGAAAAACACAAACAGGCACGCACACAATGACCAGTGTGCAGCTTAGAATGACTATACTAGGCCCCAAAAAGTTGTGAAAACACACCTCTGTGGTTTCTATGTGCAGGAAGCCATGGGATGGGCACCTCATGCCATATAATTGTCAGGTGAGTTTGAGGTCTGAGTTGGTTTTATTAAACTATCAACTACCTTCCACCAATATTTATTATAAAAAAGACTGGGGTGGGGGTTGGGGTGGGTAGGTTTTTCAGAAATCAATGATGGAAAAAGAAAAGGCATCCAAAAAAATTAACAAGAAAAGTAACTTTTGCTTTAATCAGATGCTTCATATAACCTAACTTTTTAAGTCTGAGGAGCAAGTTGTTTGGAATGATTCTGCTAAAGCCTGTTAAAAATAATGAATGGTATTAACCACCACAGCTCGTCAGTATAAAAACAAGTACACCTGGTAGATAAGCATGACAGAAAAAGGTATGCTAATTATAATGCAGCTGTTTTACAGCAGGGCAGTTAAGTCTGTGTTTTTCTTAACTAGGGCTATGCTAATATACAAGCACTTCACCATCAGTGAACCTCTCCACATCCTAATAACCTGTTCTCTGAAATAATATGCTTAATCTCTGCAAGGCCTCAGTGTTAGTAAAACAGGTGTTTATTAAATACAGGGTAATCCAATATCTTCATATATCATGGATTTACTTTCACAGACTTTTAGAGCTAGGGTAAGCATGAAAGGAAGTCCTATATAAGATTAATTCAAGGGAAAATGCTACAAAATAAATTGTAACACACTTTCCAGCTGCTGAGGACAGAATAAAAAGTATTTAAAAATTAAGCCAGAGGTTGGTCCTTACAAATGAAAAGTTTCTTCTCCCTCTGCAGAATGTAATGCCATCTTTCTTGGGGAGATTTTATGAAAAGCTCTAGCCAGCAAATCAATGTCAACTGGCTTCAAAACAGTACATTAATCCTAACTAGATATACGAACCACTTTCAAGGTAGGACAGTGGGTTCATTTGCATTAAAATTTCATAACATTTCATAAGTTTTGTAAGAAATTACAACCGAAGAGGAAAAGTAGGATCCATTAAGAGGAACTACATCATTTCACAATAAAGAGTGCCTAGACCCCAAAACAAAACACAGATATGAGATTATCCAAATAATTCAGTAGAAAAAAAGCATCACATGGAATATCAATGTGGTATATAAAAAATGAGGAAGGGGATGGTTTTAGTAAAATCTGAGAAGACCTATATGAATGGCTGCAGAGTAAAGTGAGCAGAACTAGGAGACCTTTATACATGGTAACAGCAATATTATAATGATGATCAATTGTGAAAGACTTCGCTACTCTAGTCAACACAAACAATCCAAGACAATTCCAAAGGGCTCATAATAAAAAATACTATCCACCTCCAGAGAGAGAACTGATGAACTGAGTGCAAATTGAAGTACAATTTTCTCACTTTCTTTTTCTTGCCTTTTTAGAGAATTTGGAACTCAAAAATTCTTAAAGAACACTGTAAGTAACAAATTAAAAAAAAAATCACACCACAGTGAAGATTTTTGTCTAAGATTATTCAAACAGCCCTCCCTGCCAAGGCCAACAACCTCTCTGCTTGATCTGTTTGTCCCATCCTCAAAAAAAAAAAAAAAAAAAAATCTTTACTTGATTCTGACATCTCTTCAAGTTATCCTCCTACATTTCTTCCCTTTCATAACCAAACTCCTAGAAAAGGTCACCAACAAATCAATGCATCCATTTCTTTGCCTCTCACAGTCCTTAATGCCTTTGCATTTTGGTTTCTTATCCCCATCACTTCACTGAAATTGTTATCTCTAATACTATCTAATATCTCTTAATAGCTACATCCAGAGGCCTTTCTTTGTTTTCACTAGTTACCATCCTAACTGGTCGTAAATTTCCATGGGTTCAACAATCTCAGCAGAGGACTGCCACATTTATATATCCAGTCCTAATCTCTCTCCCAACCTTTAATTTCCTATTAGTGGCATTTCCATCTGCATAATCCCACTGACATCTCAAACTCAACAAAACCCACCCAACTACCCAAGTTCACAGACCTGGAGTAATTTTTTAAAATTCTCTTCCCTTTCTTTCCCTCCCATATCTAACCAGTTGCCAAGTCCTGTCAATTCTACCCCGACCTTTGTCACCCATAGTCAACCCCATTATCCTCTTTGCACAGCCATCTACCTCAGGCCCTTGGAGCCTGCTCTGAAGCTCTCTCTGGCCATCCAGATTACAATTTCTTTCTTCTCTAATCCATTCACCACATTGATCCCAAACCAATAGTTCTAAGATACAGGTCTGATCAGGTTACTTCATCTAGTCAAAAATCTTCACTGGCTCCCTGCCACCTTAGAAGTTAAAATCCAAAATCTTCAGTCAGACATCTAAAGCTCTCCACAATCTGGCTCCCACTTGTCTTTATAGATGCTCCCTACCACCACCTCTATCTATCTCTTAGAATCTCTAAATTCTTTTCCTGATTCTCTCAACTTCTTGTGCTCTCTCTTCTCTCCTTGCAGAAGTTACTTCATCTGCCTATTTATGTACAGGCTGCCAACTGTACCTCTCCTTCCCCCCTCAGAAGGGAAGAGATGCTTCATTTTTGTCTTTTATCCCCAGGACTCAGCAAACACTTAATAAAAGATTAGCTTAATTGAAATGCACCAGATAATTCAATTACATTTGGACAGAACATCTAAGAATACAAAATTCCCATTTCAATAAATAGCACCATACCAATATTTGAGTCAACAAATTCTCTGAGAAAAATGAGGTAAAAAAAAAAAAAAAGTTAGCCAAAGCTCCCAAAAGAGGCTGAGGGCCCTACCACAAAGCATAGGGTAGGTCAGGGCTGTGACACTGAAGAAAGACCCTATTCCTGAGGATTACAAGGCTTATTCAAAACTAGGAGTAGAAATACTGAAACTGCATGAGGTCTTTGGATCTCAGAGCAGAGAACAATCATTCCCAGAGAGGCCAAAGCAACCAACCACCAGGTTGGATGCTTCACTTGGAAAGGGGAAGAGAGCCCCATGATATAAGTAACACACTACCCAGATAGGTCATGCCTTTGGATAAAACTTCTGACAAAGTGTTGCTGGACGTCCTCTTCATTAACATAACTGGTACCTGTATATATTTCCTTATGCCAATTGTTTATAGGCCAAGAGATAGCTCGAGTTGACCACACTTCAACCACAAGATAATTATCCTGTACAACCAACCATTTCTGATTCCAGACTATTTCATCCTCACTTGATTTTGGTGTGCCAGGTTTTGCCCGAAGTAGAAGTAAACACGTACACCTTGGGGGATGGGTGGGGGGTGGTAGCTAATCTTTTCTTTTCAAGTTACTCGAATAAAACTGCCCTTTAACTCTTCTCATGTGTTTCAACTACCCCAAAACAGAAAAAGAAAAACAATTCCTAAATTTACAAACCATTCACCAAAAAGACCATCAGAGAAAGAAATCTGAATGTTTAGAAGTGGAACTATATGTAGCTAGCCATCTTCCACGCTTCAGTAATTATACAAATCAAACCATACCAATTAATCACCTTTCAATAAATCACGCAGTTTTCTCCTAGTATATAACAAAATTTGACAACAATTAAACTTAGTCCTTGAGAGTCAGTTAATGAGGATTTTCCTTGTATGCCTTTTGAGGAAAAAGTGCTTATTTCAAATATTGGGCCAGCTAAACCAGCCCACGCACAATTAAATCACCAGTAAGAAAGCAAGCATGGCCTATAATTTGCATTCTGGAATACTAATGAAGGTCCCAGATTTGACAGCCTCCAGCTAAGAAATTAACTCAGTGCCAGTCCAACTTTTGGCCAAGCAATAAATCAGTATTAACTGAAATAAGACACTAATTAATGAGATTCCCCTCTTTGTCACTGTACTTTCTGTGACTAGTAAGCATGTTTCTCCTATCAGCTGCCTAAAAAATTTTCCCAGTACTACTCTCAGACTAGCTGCAATTTACAGTTTCACTATTAATCTATAGATGTGCGCTCATTAAGTCATTCAACACAACTTTTAGAAACTTTACACTGCTTAATCATGTGAAAAAATGGTTATCATAAACCAATTTTGCTTGAATGCTTGCAACAGAAAGTTAACTATTTCACTTGATTAGCCTTTATTACTAGAGAAAACTATTACTCTCCAAAAAGTAAAAGGAGATTTTTTTTGTTTGGCTTGGGAGGCGGCAGTTCCCCCCTTCTCCTTATGTTCCATTAAGGGAGATAAATTCAGTGGCTAAATGGGTTTTCTCTGTAGCACCAGCTTCCTTGAGCAACTAAATCAAGCACTGTCATGCCGAAATAGCCTTTCTAAGGTTTAAAAGGACCACCAACACTGATATAGTACTAATGGGAAAGAA